ATGTCAGATGTCACAATCTTCTTTTTGAGGGGAGGGACCAAGGATCGAACTGGGGAGCTTGTGCTTGCAAGGCAGGTGTTGGAACCACTGAGCTAAATCTCTGGACTTTGCAGTCACTTTTTGTTGAAATTCCCAGGAAAATAATTTTTTTTTCTTGTACTGGGAATCGAACTCCAGGACCTTGTGCTTGTGAAGCAGGTGGCGAAACGAATGAGCTAAATCGCTGGCCCCCAGGAAAAGAATTTTGATAAACACCAGCTAAGCATTGTGTATCACACAGAATACTTCTGCTCTCTCCTCTGGTCAGAAGAGTTGAAGTGAGCTCACAATTTGACACATGGCATGAAACCCTTGGTACTCTGAGGCTTTCTGTGGGTAAAAAGAAAGCAACAGACACCTGTTACTTGCATAGTGCTTTATGCTCTCTGGTTTACAAAGCGTTTTCAGATATCATCACAACTGAACTTTAGCACACCTGTGAAGTATAGTTAGCGTCTCCATTTTGCAGATAAGGAAATAGGTCGTTACGGAGTCAATTGATGTAATTCAGGAAAAAGGGTTTGTTTCTTGCTATTATTTTGTTTTTTTACTTTGCTTTGGTTATCCAGAAAATTATTTCCTTGACTTCAAAACTTTGTGAGAAGGAATCATCACAAGGTGACCAACGTATCACCTTCTCTTCTAGGGACACCCCTTTCCTGGCACAAACATGAAGCCCGGAGTCAGCAGTATACAGTTGTATCACCCAACCCTCAAAACAACCCATCACAACCGTCAGGGATTATTGATTGATTGATTGAACTAGAGCCTCATTATTCCAGGTTGCCCTTGTACTCACTATGTAGCCCAGGCTGGCCTCACCTTATTATTTGTTGTTGTTGTTGTTTTTTTGTTTGTTTGTTTGTTTTGAGACAGGGTCTCACTATGTAGTTGAGACTGACCTGGTACTCACTATATAGCCCAGGCTGGTCTCAAACTCCCAGCGATCCTCCTGCCTCAGCTTCCCGAGTGCTGAGATCACAGGCGTGCACCACCAAGTCCGGCTGCTGGCCTCACCTTATTATTTGTTGTTGTTGTTGTTTTTTTGTTTGTTTGTTTGTTTTGAGACAGGGTCTCACTATGTAGTTGAGACTGACCTGGTACTCACTATATAGCCCAGGCTGGTCTCAAACTCCCAGCGATCCTCCTGCCTCAGCTTCCCGAGTGCTGAGATCACAGGCGTGCACCACCAAGTCCGGCTGCTGGCCTCACCTTATTATAAACAGCTAAGGTTGTAATATTATAGGCAGTCAGACATGGCTAGGCCTTTGAGGGAGTTGGTACAGAAGATGAGAATAGATCACAACTGAGGCTAAAGGCTCATTTGTCAGGCTTCAAGATATAGGTGGAATGACCAGGCCTATGTGCCTCCCTGAGAGATAAGCAATAAATCAAAGATTACACTCACCTGGTCCAGTAAAGTTAGGTAGACATCACTTACCTAGGTGGTGAGTAGGACCTCCCAATCCATCCTTTCCTGAAAAGGCCTTTGTTCTTTTCATGTACATTTGCTATGTGAACTAATTCCCCACTGGATCAATATTACCTAAGTGGCTATATTTATAGTCTTATTGGTTGATCATAGTTTGACCTATGTTGTACCCACCTTGTGATTTTTGTTCCCACCTTATGATTTACCTCTATAAAATTTCCTCTGAGAAGCGAGGTCTGTAGCAACCCACTTTCTGGTCCCCTCCTGTCTTTCAGGTGCTCTCTCAATAAATTTTTCCTACTCTTTTTTTGGTACCAGAGATTGAACTCAGGACTGTGCGCTTACAAGGCAGGTGGCAGAACCACTGAGCTAAATCCCTGGCCCAATTTTTCCTGCTCTTAAACTGCTCCTTATAATTCATTGTTTGATTTTGGGGAACATGGACTTGGTGTATCTGATATCTAGCAGGTTGGGAGTTACATTTTCCCTTGATAGGGCTGGGACGTAGCTCGGTGGCGCGTGCCTGCCTTGCAAGTGGAAGGTCCTGAGTTCAAACCCTGATACTGCAAAAGAAAAAAAACCAAAACATTTCCCCCTGATATCAAACGCACAGCAATCTTCCTGTCTCAGCCTCCAAAGGACCCACTGGGATTACAGCTTGCCCCAGGATGCCTTCCTCTTCATGTTTATTATGCAACACTTTCAGGTGTATCTTGGAAGGGACAGGCTTCTCTGAAGTTATTTGTAGCTGGCCACCTCAGCATGCATCCCTAATGCCACTATTGTGGGAGGATAAGGCAGGAGGATTCCAAGTTTGAGCCCAGCCTGGGCAATTTAGTGAGAAGGTGTCTTAATGCAAAAAATTAAAAAAGGGCTGGGGAATGTAGCTCAGTGGGAAGGCCTTGGGTTCAGTCTACAGTACCATAGATGAAACAAAACAAACAAAAAAACCAAACTAGTTATTTGTCTCCTATGAGCGGCTAGCCAGTCAAGAAAACAAGATTTTTATTGCTTCTATTGGTATGAGGGCTTGAAAATGAGGTACTTCTGTGAGACCTTGTCTCAAAATGAAAATGAAAAGAAGGCTCTGCAGTAGGCCTGCCTAGCACGTGCCAGGCCCTGGATTCCATTCCCAGTGCAGCAAGACAAAAGGTTTGGGCACATAACCAGTAAACTGTCCATCCTCGCAGCTGATTGACAGTTCCTTCTCTGGGGGAGGGGTAGTGATGAACTGTGGGGCCGAGTTCCCCCATAAACAAAGGAAGCTCCGCTCTTCTTAAGGTCTTTTGTTGTCCAAACATTCGCAGTCTGAGGCTTGTCTGTTTAGACGCGGGACCTCAGGGTGCCGGGGTGCTGATTCTCTCCTTCGCAGTTCTGGGTGGCCACGATGGACTAGACCGGGCGGTTACGGTGGGCTTTGAAGGGAGCTAGTTTTTCTGGCCCCGGCCCGTCCCCAGCTCGATCTCCGACTAGGGGAAGCAGAAGCACCTGGAGTCTGGCTGGTCCCCGGGTCTGGGGGCGCTAAATCACCACGCACCTCCCCCGGGGAAGGCGCCGCCGCCTGCTCTTATTTGCATCCAAGAGTTTGCACCAAGCCCGGCGCTCACATGCTGGAGGTCGCACCTGGGGTTCCCGGGGGACAGTGCAGAGCACCTGGGTCGGGGTAGGCAGGTGACAGGGGACCTGGGGAGGGGCTGCGGGCGCTCGGGAAGACCTGAGCCTCGCCTCCCCCCCCCCGAGTTCCCCAGAGCGTCCGGCCCGCATTCGGGAGTACCGGCTGCGGTGGGACCGAGGGTCCCCTACTCCTCCCAAGACGCCCCAGC